TGAGAATCCATATTTTAAAAGGGTATCACATTACCAATACTGGTTTAAAGTTAATGTTTGGGCAGCAACTTTAGGTAAAACTAATTAGTTATCATATTCTACCTGGAAATCTGAATGGTAATAATATGTACCTAGAGTTTTTAGAAAATCATTATTCGAAATATTAGAAAACTTAATGCTAAACGAGATGGATGGTAGAGGTGAACGAGTCCGATTATTTGGCCTACACCTACACGTTCATGCATGCGATTTCAATCCTTTGGACTATACAGTTTGGTCGTACTATGGAGACTAGAGAGAAGGAGGCAAATCGGTAACGGTCAAATTTCAAATTTTCATCCTTCTTTTTATAAAGTTCGTGAAAATGACTATAGTTGGCATGTCGAATAACAGCAGTGTCAATTTTCTATGTAAGTCAATGTAAAATAAAGTGATTTTTTTAAAAAATTGGCGAAAAGAATCAAAATAATGTGAAAAAAGTACCTGAGTGCAAGTAACATGAGTGACAAAAAACATCAAAGAAAGATTTACGTCGTTCCAGATTGTAAAACAGGATATAAATCGAATGTAAAACTGAAAAAAAACATAAGGATAAATCAATTTATTGTCTTTTTAAAGCTTCTAATGTAAGTAAAATAATGTATTTATGTCTAAATATAATATTTATTGTAAACTAGTTACAATATGTATCTTAGTTGTATTGTAGTTTATTTTATTACAAGTTTCAGTAATTATTGCGCCCTTTTCTTAAAAACATATTTTTTTACAAAACTTATATTTTAGTCTTTAGAAAGGAGAGTATTTTTCAAATATAGCACCGGAAACCCCATAAATCAACGTCTTTAAACATTTTCAAATTAAAGGCTTATGAGAATCATTAAGTGATCATTTGTGTAAACTTATTCATTAGAATTTAGAATTATATCTGTCATGCTCTGTCAATACAAATTAGTGCGGTGTTGCCAAATGTCCAACTAAAATCAACGAAAAATAAATACCTTATTTCTGCCATAACATTTCCATACTCTTTAAACATCAGTTCTATTAATTTATTTCCGGTCACACCCGATGATTTATTTATCTGTTTTGATTGAATTGTTGTAATACATTATTTTTAAATATTAATATTACGTCATCTATAAAATAATAAACAATACTTTTCGAAAACTTTAAAACATAATTACTCTAAGGTATTTTTCGCCGCATAAACCAACAAGAACGTTTATGATAGATTAAGTTATTTAGACCAATCTGAATAACATAATCTATCATAAACGTTCATGTTGGTTTATGCCGCGAAAAATACCTTTTTGTGTTATTCAAAAGTTTTTAAAACTTGTACAAAAAGTAACTTAATATATAATATTTAGATTCCTGATAGGTTTACAAAAACAGTTTTGAATAAAATTTTATGAATTAAATCAAGTTAATAATAAATATACTGGGTTGACCATTACTCAAAAATTACGCAAGAATATATTTTTTTAATTACACAGGTTTACAAAAAAAATAAAAAGTCCGGACTATTTTACCGGTCCACGGTATTCCTAGGTATTTTGGCGTCCTGAATCCGATCCCGGGGTCAGTTTTGCTTCATCACGTCAGAAAACCCAGATTTCAAGGTCATTTAGAGGTTAAAATGGTGCTTTTTCGGAACCGGCCCCGGAACAATTTCTCAGGCGATCTATTAAGTTGAGGGGTAACTGTCTAGGTCGTGAATACCTTCCAAACATTGGACAGGGGCGATGAATCTCGACCAGGATCAGCGCAGGGATAGCCCAGTGGATAAAATGTTACCATGATGGTTGTATCTCGCGAATTTCGATCTTCCTGCCAAGGTGTTCAATTTCAATTTCCATTCTAATAGCCTACTCGACGATTTTGAGTAAGAACTACTGCAATATTGACTATTTGCTCCAAAAAATCAATTACAGCAAGTACAAATATATACGAATTTGAAGGTGGTAACAATACTTTTGGGACAACAGAGTAGATTTACAAAATACCCTTGTTTTTTATGTAAATGGGACAGTCGAGCTCGTGATGAGCATTACCAAAGGAAGGTTTGGCCATCAAGGGACAATTTTTTTGTGGGTCAGAAGAACATATACCAAGTGAAATTAGTGGATCCCAAAAGTATTTTACTACCTCCTCTCCATATTAAACATTCGTCAAGGCTCTTAAGAAAAGAAGTAGCGAAGCCTTTCGATATATCTACCAAAAATTTCCAAAGTTGTCAGATGCTAAACTCAAAGAAGGGATTTTCAATGGGCCGCAAATATGAGAACTTATAAAAGACAGAATTCCCGAAGAAGATGGCGGTAGATGAAGAAGAAGCATGGAAAAGCTTCGTGAATGTTTCTCAGAAATTTCTTGGAAATACTAAAGACTCAAACTATATGGAATTGGTGGAGGGCTTGCTCCAGAACTATAAAGCCATTGGATGTTTGATGAACTTAAAGGTCCACTTCTTGGATTGGCATTTGGGAAATTTCCCAGAAAACCTCGGACATTATTGCTAAGAATAAGGTGAAAGATTCCACCAAGGTATAAAAGAGATGGAAAGACGCTACCAAGGTTTTTTGGGACATTAACATATTGACAGATTACTGTTGGAACTTGAAGAGGGATACCAACAAGGGACATAAGAGAAAGGCGCTTAGAAGGAGTTTTAATCAAACCTGCTGACCCCATAAACAAGCAGGAAAAGATTGAGAAATTGGAGGGAAAAAAATGAGAGGCTAAGAAACTCTCTATAAACAAGCACCATGAAGGGAACAGTATCTGCAACGTCCCCGTCGTTGTTCCTGGGTATTGCTAATAGCAGAACTGAGTTTATCAGCAGAATCTAAGTCATAGTCGCAAATATTGTATGATAGCCACACCAATTCACGTGGTGGAATGTGACGTCTTATTAGAGGGATTGAATTCCAATGGCCTGCCTCAGCAGAACAAAGGTGGCAAACTCTGAAGTTGCGGATTGGGATCCTCGGGCCATTTTCTGCAACCTTAGTTTGCCCCGGACAGTATACTCAGCTTGACCCAATTTTTGGACAATGTTATAGGAGCACTTTGAGAAGTAATGGTAATAACTGACGATAACTCAATCGCCAAAATTCGACTCCAATGTTCTGTCAAGGTTCTAGGGCCATTTGGGTCAGTGCTGGATCCACTGGCATTATCTCACAGCAAATGGATCGCCGAAATTGAACACCTTAGCAGGAAGATCAAAATTTGCGAGATACAACGATCATGACAACTCTTTATCCACATGGCTGGCCCTGCGCTGGTCCTGGTCGAGATTTGGGGACCGTTTCCAATGTTTGGAAGGTATTCAAGACCTACACAGTTACTCCTCATTAACAGATCGTTTGAGAAATTGTCCCGGAGCCAGTTCGAAAAAATCACCATTTTGATCTCTAAATGACCTTGAAATCTGGTTTTTCTGACGTGATGGGGCAAAACTGACCCCGGGATTGGATTCAGGACGCCAAAATACCTAGGAATACCATGGTCTGATCAAATAGAGCGGACTTTTTTTTTTTTGTAAACCTGTGTTATTTTTCGTACTTTTTACTTTCTCATCTGTATACAGATATAAGGAAAGTATAGGAATCACGATTTTTTTCGACCTCGAGTTTTCGACGGATTTTTAGGTTTTGAGGTCCCCTGAATCCGTTTTGACTATTTTCGTGAATTTCGAAACGTCGACCGGGCGCGGCCTTTTTACACCTACACCATAAGAACACGGAGCGCTCTTCCCATCCAGTTCCTAACCATTACAGAAGAAAGCGAGCGAAGCAAGTGCGCGCGGCCAACGTTTCGACAAGTCAGGATATTCCATGCTTACGCATGCGCAGATGATAATACGAGAATATAATGGGTTATATGATACTTTTCATTTTAATTTGAGCTTTGCCTAGGCCGTTGGAGTCCATGCTGGTCGACGTAGCCAGGTATGGGTTGGTATATTCTGGTGACGGTAAAGCCGCCACATTACGAGAAGTCGTTGCTTCGTCTTCTTGTTGTACATTCACGAGCCGGCATGCGCATAAAATGGGTTACTAAAATACCACTTTGTCTTCTGTAGTAGTTAGGAGGTGAGTGAGACGAGCGTAGTGTGCTCTTATGGTGTAAATGGAAAAAGAGAGTGCAAGGGCGACGTTTCTCAATTTGCGCGAATTTCAAAACGTTAAGAAGTGAATGGAACGAGCGTTTACTGCTATTAGGGTGTAGGTGTAACAAAAGTGCGCAGGGCCGAGCTCGGCCGATGTTTTGAAATTCGCGCGAATTTCTAAACGTCGGCCGGGCGAGCTCGCTTGCATCTGTAGTGTAAGTGTAAAAAGGGCACAGGCGAATTTCGAAACATCAAACCAAAAGCGCCCGCTTCTAAGGTAGTTCGAACGTCACAAGTGAGAGTATTTCTAACCAGTTAAGAAAACCTCTCACAAACAGATTAGGTTCAATAGGGTTAAAAATAAAAAAATATACGTAAAATAAAATTTGTGTATTAACAATCAAAATAAGTATACAGAACAGTTTGCGAGATAGAAATATATTTCAAATAAAAAGTTACAACTCTTTATATCACGGAAGTGTATAGTTACCTTTTAGAGTTTGGTATTCAAGAGTTGTAGGTGCATTTTTTTAAAACTACAGTTTTTCTTATTTGTAAAGCTTTAGTGGTTTATTTGTGCCTTCTTCAGTACTAGCTTTATTATTTTTTGTTTAACTTAATAGAAAAGAAACACTTTGTTAACTCTTAATTTATATTTTTAAATTTGCGCGCCGCGCCACTGACCAACGAGCGCTGTCATTGTTTTGGTTCAGACATGCTGAGTAAGGAGTAGTATGAGTGGGCCATAAGCGGCAATCGCCGGTTGTATTCTGACAATAAGATCAGTTTAATTGAATTATCGTGTTTAAATATAATTGAAAATGAGTCTGATTGATCTAATTTCGATAAATAAATAATTAAACTTAACAACTTGTTTAAAAAAAGATAATAATCCATCTTTCCTTTACAGTTTCATCTCTACTTAGGACTGGCGTTTATATATAATATACATTTTGGTGTTTTCTTATTATTTATATTTTTTATATAAGTTCCTTTCAACTTTAACTCCTTGTATCTTTCTTATTATAAATATTTTTTTGAGGTAAGTTGACTCTAATCGTAATATTTTGAAGTTGAATATCTACTATATTTCTATGTACAATTACTTACGGACCACCCTGTATAAATAATAGTTAATGATTTATTAACAATATTAAATTAAATAAAAAATAATTAAAGTAGTATTGAAACAAAAACATCTAGGTACAACCCAGGAATATCAAAAACTAGAATGTACAAATATAGGAGAAAATAGGAGAAAAATAGTTCCTCTTGAAATTCTCTGTATAACAAAATGAAATAGGAACTATTTCAACGCGAAATTATGTATAGTTGTATTAAATAAGTCAACTATAAAGGAATATGTACCTCAAATGAAGAAAAAAGTTTGGTCTCTATTTGAAGAATTTGAAAATAAAATTGGTGTAGGGAATGGATTACTTGTCGAAAGTCAGGTAAACTAAATGAAAAGTATCAGCAAATTGACATCGTAAAAATTTAAATGTTAAATAAAGATTTTTATGTTTATGTTCCTATAACACATTTAATATCTTTAAATGTTTAAAATATCCTACCCAATAATAAATCATTTTAATTGCCGCAAATGCGATAGTCGAGTTCGTCTTAATCAGTTCATCTTATCAAGATAGAGAAATATAATGAATTTAATTCCAATAAAGTGATAGGTCATAATATTTTTAGTACTATATTCTATTGTTAAAACGATTCGTAATGACATACTTAATAACCACTTTGTTAAATTGTGTTGAGAAACATTTTAGTGTTTTTTTGTTTGGATCATCTTCAAATGAAAGCCTTATTTTTTCTTCACTTTGCGATGTTCCTTTATAGTTTAATACAACTTTAACTAGAAGGAGAGATTTAGCTGTTATAAACGAACATAAAACATTCAAAATTTGCTTATAAGCTATTTTTATTTAAATTTGAACAACTAAAATACATAGCGCCAAATTGAAAAGAGAAATAACTATATCAGTAGCTCCCGATTTCGAGAGGTCTAAACGAAGTTTTTCCTCTAAATCATTAGGAACGTCTAAGAAAACTTTATCGACACCAATATCCAGAATCGTTGCTTTCAATTTTTTAACGTCAACGGTATCGTCCGAACCAGAAAAAATAGTCAGTGTGTCAGTCTCTTGAAGCAATCTAAAAAATTGTAAATATAAATGTACTTTTAAACTTTATAGGTATTTAAAAATGTATACACCGTTCCATTAGAGAAAAGCACAGAGGTGTCATAGATGACTATAGTGGCAGAAACAACATTTTGATTTGTTTACCTAGCAACCCAAGTAGTTCAATGGACGTCTGTTAAAAAAGCTTTAACAGTTATCCACTAGAATGGTTTCACAGTAAGGGTGTACCCTGGATTAAAGTCCGGTCTCTTTAATGTAACATTGCACACCGCCCATTTTTTCTATTTTAAACCCAAGTAACCCACCAATTGATAACACAGGTGAACAGCTGTTTTGGTGTCGAGGTTTTTTGAGCTGATTCTATATCAATTTGATGTCCTGAATTCAAATAATGTATTCATTTTTCCTAGAACCTCAATTTTTTAAGATATACAATTTTAGAGAAATATAAGTTACATTATTTTAACTCAAATCCGTAAGTGTAGTAAACAAAAGTAGATACGAAATTTTTATTTAAGTAATACAAAATACAATATTATGTCGTACTTACAAACAAAAACAAAATTAAAGAAATCAAATAGTCACTCAATACTTCGAAAGCTTCTTTTCCGCGACATTTTTGAATGTTTTTTAAACAGTTCCTTTTTAAACTCCAGCAGTAATCTGTCATCATGTGTATGTCCCATATTCCTTGGTAGCGGTCCTCCATAACTTTAATATCTTGGCGAAATCTTTCACCTTGCTCACTCATGTCTCCTAAATTTTCTGGAAAATGGTCTAAGTGGTTGTGTAAATAGTGTATTTTAATACTCATATTGCCATTTCAACATAGTTTTGAGCTTTAAGTTTGCCTAGAAAATTTTCTACAACTGCAACAAATGATGTCCAAGCTTCTTGTTCATTGAATTTATGAAGGCAGGATCCTTAATTAATTGTCCTATTTGTGGGCCGTCAAATATCCCTGCTTTGAGTTTTTCAGTGCTCAACTAATGCATTTTTACCCCTATATATGCAAAACATAACCCATTCTTATCAAGAGCCTTTACAAATTGCTTCATTAAGCCCAACTTTATATGTAACGGAGGAAGTATGATTTTTTCTTTTTCAACCAAAGCGTCGTTAATGACATTCTTTTCCACAACGTGAGGCAAATCTTTTCTAACCCAGTGGTGTGTTTTGACCCTACTGTCCCAGAGACACAAGAAACACGGATATTTCGTGTAACCACTTTGCTGCCCAAGAAGAAAGTTTACCATTTTTAAGTCTACACAAATCATCCATTGATGTTCGTGATATTTTATCTTCTGCAAGACCAAACCTACGGTTTTATATTCTTCTTTCAGTTTCGTTGAGTGAGATAGTGGTTTTGAACCATATTTATTCCCATTATGTAGAAGGACACATTTTAAACTTCGCTTTAAACTGTCAATAAATAGGCGCCAATCATCTGGAATATATTCAGAAAGTCCCATTTTTTCCATTAATTTCGTGACAAAATACAAGATTGTCTTTTTGAGAAAAGAATGGTAGCAGATACTTTTCTGTTGTACGGTAAAAGGTAATTTTGGTTCCTTGTTCCAATAAATTTTTGTCGTTCAACCTAGAAGCAAGTACTTCAGAAGCTTTTTCCAATAAATTGAGATCCCTGGTGAGATCATTTAATTCATTTTGATTGAAGCGTTGAGGAACTGATCACGTCTCCTCATAGTCACTGTTAGTTTCATTAGCATCAGAACTTTTATTAGCATCAGAACAGCGATCAGAGGGAAAATATTTGTCATCAGAGATATTATTATTATTATTATTATTATTAATATTATTATCATTATTATTATTATTATTATTATTATTATTATTATTATTATTATTATTATTATTATTATTATTATTATTATTATTATTATTAATATTATTATTATTATTATTATTATTATTATTATTATTATTATTATTATTATTTGTTATTATAACACTACTTAGTTTGTAGGTAAGTCTATAGATCTATTATTATTATTATTATTATTATTATTATTATTATTATTATTATTATTATTATTATTATTATTATTATTATTATTATTATTATTATTATTATTATTATTATTATTATTATTATTATTATTATTATTATTATTATTATTATTATTATTATTATTATTAAAATTATTAAAATTATTATTATTATTATTATTATTATTATTATTATTATTATTATTATTATTATTATTATTATTATTATTATTATTATTATTATTATTATTATTATTATTATTATTATTATTATTATTATTATTATTATTATTATTATTATTATTATTATTATTATTATTATTATTATTATTATTATTATTATTATTATTATTATTATTATTATTATTATTATTATTATTATTATTATTATTATTATTATTATTATTATTATTATTATTATTATTATTATTATTATTATTATTATTATTATTATTATTATTATTATTATTATTATTATTATTATTATTATTATTATTATTATTATTATTATTATTATTATTATTATTATTATTATTATTATTATTATTATTATTATTATTATTATTATTATTATTATTATTATTATTATTATTATTATTATTATTATTATTATTATTATTATTATTATTATTATTATTATTATTATTATTATTATTATTATTATTATTATTATTATTATTATTATTATTATTATTATTATTATTATTATTATTATTATTATTATTATTATTATTATTATTATTATTATTATTATTATTATTATTATTATTATTATTATTATTATTATTATTAGAACATAATAAACATTCATAGTAGTCTTAATAAGTTTTTTAGGCATGCAGATGTACACCATCACAACACAAGGAACAATAATAATTTAGTGCCGCTCAAATCTAGGCTACATGTAACCGAAAATAACAAATTAAACACTAAACTCTTTAATTTTTTCCAAGACCTACATAACGAATTAAATCTAAAATCACTTAATACAAAACGGGTCCAGAAATTGGCTAGAGAATTCTTACTTGAGGAATGTTTTTACTCAGTTGAGGAATATTTAAATTTTAAAAAATCGTAACCCACTTGTTGTAATTCTTTTTTATACATACTTTTATTACACTTTTGTGTCATTTTAATTTATTTGTAAAAAATTTGTTTCACTTGAAGTGTTTTATTTTTTAAAAGTGTTTTATTTGTTAAAAATTTGTTCTGTTTTTATATTTTATTTTTTTTACGTATTTGTTTTTAATGTATATTTAAATGTTTTTTTTAATAAGTTCTAAATATTGACAATTTTATCTTTATCTATATTTGATTGACTATTTTAATATGTAATTGTAATTTTTAAATCGTAAACGTTGTGACCCTTATGTACTATTATTGTATGAATTACTGGTCAATAAAATATCTATCTATCTATCTATTATTATTATTATTATTATTATTATTATTATTATTATTATTATTATTATTATTATTATTATTATTATTATTATTATTATTATTATTATTATTATTATTATTATTATTATTATTATTATTATTATTATTATTATTATTATTATTATTATTATTATTATTATTAATATTATTATTATTATTATTATTATTATTATTATTATTATTATTATTATTATTATTATTATTATTATTATTATTATTATTATTATTATTATTATTATTATTATTATTATTATTATTATTATTATTATTATTATTATTATTATTATTATTATTATTATTATTATTATTATTATTATTATTATTATTATTATTATTATTATTATTATTATTATTATTATTATTATTATTATTATTATTATTATTATTATTATTATTATTATTATTATTATTATTATTATTATTATTATTATTATTATTATTATTATTATTATTATTATTATTATTATTATTATTATTATTATTATTATTATTATTATTATTATTATTATAATTATTATTATTATTATTGTTTTGTTGCACTACCTCAGTCTCGAGCAGCTGGGTAGGTGTTTTATCCGAAGCTTTACCAAAGCTCTTGGGATTTTAATAGGTTGTAAATATATATATATATTTTTTTTTTTTTTTTTTTTTTTAGGCTTCATATCAGGTTAGTATTCTTCGGAGGATGTGTGCAGACCCTAACAATGCTATTTTCTGGACTTCGTATGCATTTGCTTTACCGGGGATTTGTTTTAGATGGTCACCAAATCCTCTTTTGATTAACCCCAAAGTCCCTACTATTACTGGCACAACCTTGGCCTTTACATTCCACATTCTCTGAACTTCTATCTGAAGGTCTTTGTATTTGGAAATTTTCTCCGCCTCTTTAACCATGATGTTCTGATCACTGGGAATAGCGATGTCAATAAGTAAACAGATCTTTTCTTTTCTATTGTGGTATACTATATCGGGGCGGTTGGCGTTAATGGTCCGATCTGTTCGTATGGGGTAATCCCACATGATTGTGATTTCCTGTATATTTACCACTGGCATTGGTACATGCTCGAACCATTTGTCGGGTACTTCACCTCCAAGTTGTTTGCAGATTGACCAATGTATATAACTAGCTACCTTGTTGTGCCGATGAGTATACTCGGTAGCAGCAAGTGTGGTGCATGCACTTAGTATTTGCGCCGTTGTCTCTTCTGCTTTTCCACACATTCTACATCTGCTGTCTATTTTTATACCAAGTATTCGATTTTGGTGATATCTGGTGTTTAAGGCTTGATCCTGAGCTGCGATTATCAAACTTTCGGTCTCTCCCTTCAGGTCTGATCCACGTAGCCACGCTATACTGGCATCTTTGTCTACATGTGGCTGATTTAAGTATTTGAGAAATTGACCGTGTAGTGGTTTTTTCTTTACACGTTCTATCCTGTCGTGTTCGATGGCATCTCTCAGTTTGTGGGAGTTGTCTGCTATTTCGCATCTCAAATTATCAGCACTTTGTTTTGTTGGCTGTATATAGCGGTCTTTAATGGTACTTGCTAGTTGGGTCAGAGAGTATTTCGATTTATTATTATCATGCCTATTTACCATTTTTATTAATCTGTCGTTACTTTGTACCACATACTTGCTGAGGCCAGTTACTGCAATACCATAGGCTGATTCGAGCTCGGATGAACCACGCCCACCATCTTTTCGTTTGATGTATATTCTGTCTGCATCGGCTTTTGGATGATGAATTTATTATTATTATTATTATTATTATTATTAATTATTATTATTATTATTATTATTATTATTATTATTATTATTATTATTATTATTATTATTATTATTATTATTATTATTATTATTATTATTATTATTATTATTATTATTATTATTATTATTATTATTATTATTATTATTATTATTATTATTATTATTATTATTATTATTATTATTATTATTATTATTATTATTATTATTATTATTATTATTATTATTATTATTATTATTATTATTATTATTATTATTATTATTATTATTATTATTATTATTATTATTATTATTATTATTATTATTATTATTATTATTATTATTATTATTATTATTATTATTATTATTATTATTATTATTATTATTATTATTATTATTATTATTATTATTATTATTATTATTATTATTATTATTATTATTATTATTATTATTATTATTATTATTATTATTATTATTATTATTATTATTATTATTATTATTATTATTATTATTATTATTATTATTATTATTATTATTATTATTATTATTATTATTATTATTATTATTATTATTATTATTATTATTATTATTATTATTATTATTATTATTATTATTATTATTATTAATAATTATTATTATTATTATTATTATTATTATTATTATTATTATTATTATTATTATTATTATTATTATTATTATTATTATTATTATTATTATTATTATTATTATTATTATTATTATTATTATTATTATTATTATTATTAATAACGTGAAAAGTTGTATATACTTATAATACAAGTGCCAATGTTATGAAAGATAAAAAATATATTCGTTTTCACCGGTAAATATTTATTAATGTTTTGACATAAAACCGCCATAACCCTTTAAGTTGAATACTTCAGATCCGCATTAAGATATTTCTGTAAATATTAACCAATGAATATTTAAGAAAACAGATTTCATATTACTAACATAAATTTACAAAAGGACAAAATTTTTAAAATTGAATTAATTCTTATGTGAATAAAAAGTAAATAAGACATTGTTGCTAATGAAATTTTGTTTTTAAAAAGTAGTTTTATAAGAATATATATACTAAAGGTAGTTTTTAGCCCTCTTTGGTGCGTAAATATTTTAAGAACTATAAGAATAATAGGTAAAATACAGGATAATCTACTTAAAATTTTAAGATTCATCTTATGTTCAATATAATCTAGTATAAGCAAAAAGAATTACTAGTTACGAGAGTTAATCATATTGTTAATAAAATGTTACATTATAAAAACCAAACAACTCGTAAAAAATTTGTTTACTAAAAAACTATATTCTTGCAATATTTATTTATACAATCGAATGCGGTTTTAAAGATAACGGGATCAAAAAATCCGAATTTTGGAATGATCCGAAGCGACTAATCGGGGTTGCAAAATAAATGATTATTCGGTTATTTTTTAGAAAAATTGATTTGTCGGTCAATCGGTTTTTTAATTAATCGATTATTTTCGATTAATCGATTATTTTTATATATTTTAAAGTTTAGTTCATAATCGATTTGAAAGAAAATACGAAAAGAAAAACGATCATTTAAAATTAATCGATTAATGAAAACAATCGATTATTTAAATAATCGGTAATTCGGTAATTTTTTTTTACAAAAATCAATTTATCGGTTTTTTAATTAATCGATTATTTTCGATTTTTCAATAATCGAATAATTTATTTAAAAGGAGATTCTAAAAAATAATCGATTGATCGAAAATAATCGATTATTTTAAATAATTCATAATTCGGTAATTTTTTTAGAAAAAACAATTTATTGGTTTTTTAAATAATCGATTATTTTCGATTAACCAACTATTTTCGTTTAATCGATTATTTTCGATCAATCAATTATGGATTTTTCAAATATAATTGATTTTTAAGGAATACAAAGAGAAAATGGATAATTTGTAAATAATCAATTGATCGAAAATATTCGATTTAATTAATAGATTATTTTCGATTTTTCAAATACATCCGAATAATTGATTTTAAAGGAAATACGAATAGAAAATCGATAATTTGAAAATAATCAAATGATCGTATATATTCGATTATTTTAAATAAATCGAAAATGTATTTTGATATTCGCCCACCCCTAGCCACCGAATGATTTTTATTAGATTTAAATTTAAAAATGTTATCTAGTTTTAGAAATATGCATTTTTTCGAGTTTAATGTGACAAATCCTCTATATTTAATACTCCTAAAACAAAAAGCTTTAATATACCTACCTTTTTCTGAGGTTACAATACAAAACAACATTTTCTCATTACGACTAATGTTTAATATTATATAATAGCTGTAGGAAAAACATACTGTTCAACTCACAAGAAATGCTTATTTTCTAATGGTTTAATTTACAGTTTTTGCCTGTGTACATGCTGCAAATATAATACTTATAGGCGAGTATCATTCCTTGCTCGATTAACAATATTCTATTCCAACATTTTATTGTAGTCTCTTGCAGAAAAGTCCGTAGCCAATAAACGCTAACAAAATATTCTATAAAATAACTTTTGTCTTCTCTCTACATAAATTATAGTTGCACCTGTTCGATATTAAAAAAATTGCGTTAATTTTATTTCATAATGCAACATTCCATTAAACATCTTTTAAGTAAATTTAATAGTTCATTACGTTGCTAATAAACCAAGTCCGTTCCTGCCAAAGAGTTCGAGTCTCCTCCCAGTACCCCCACTCCGTTAACCTTCCTATAGAAATTGGCTACATTCGCGCAGGTTAAATACCGTTGTATGTTACATCTCTGGTCTCTAAAAGTGATTCTGTCTCTGATAAAATGATGTTCCGATTTCCAAGCAAGCTTTTGAAATATGTAGTTACATGTCAGTTTGTCGATTCTTCTTCTTTCGATATAAATCAACAGAGAATAGGGAAGGGCGTTATTGAATGCGCCTTCCATATCTAGGAAGACAACCCGCTTAGTCTGCCCGTGTTTTAGGAAATGATCGATTTTGTTTACTAGATTTTGCAGGGCATGATCTGTCAATTTGCCTGCATAGTAGGCATATTGCGAGAAGATTAGGTTTGCCCGAAGTCTTGCTTCTCTAATATGCCTACCTAGAATTCTTTCAAGTGTATTTAAAAGAAATAAATAGGTATGAAAGTTTATTGAAACCAGTGATGTTTTTTGTATAATAATAAAAAAGTTGATAAGTACCTACTTATTTTTAAATTAATAATTTATATATTACATAAAATCCTTGTGAATATTTCAGATTTCAAGCTTGCATACTTTTCGAAAAACGCCTAAACCGAACTATCAAGAATCACTCCCTGTATCTATCTAGGTTTTTTATTCTAGTAAGGTGATCTGAAGGATTAATTAAAACACAAACTTACTTTGTGTTAACCCACAAATATAACATCGTTACGCCACTGATTTATCACATTGACAATATGACACTATGACGACACCATTTCGCTACTGGTGTGATGCAGCTGTATTTTTCTCTGATGGAACATACTATATATTCTCTAACGGAATTTTTGTTTGTTTGATTATTTTCCACATCAAATGGCGCCCTACATTTTTGAATTAAATTTTGTGCATTTGAAATGGATATTTAAATATAAATGAATAAGACAAGAAGAAATAAATGTAAATTAAATAAATGAATTTAAGATATAAATAGTACTCGTAAATAACTGAAACAAGGAGAACAAGGGAAAAGACAATATGAAAAATTAGAACAGGTACGAGTAGAAGAAGGATTAAAAGGAGCCGATGAGGAAGTTAGGAAGGAAGGACTGAGAAAAGTTTAAATTGTAAACTACTTTTTTAGTCGATTGTCATAAAAAATGATATTTTACGGATTTATTAACATCCCTAAACTGTTACTTTTTCAGCTGCATTTACTTTACGGCTGCCTTAAAGTGTCACTTTTTTGGCCGCATTTACTTTACGGCCGTTTCTTATAAACACAGGTTTATCATATTTTGGCCATATGATCTTTTTCTGGCCTAACCAGCAGTTGCTTGGCATCGGCTACGCCTCTGCCGCACATTTCTGATTCGGCCCAAAAAGATCAACTATTTTTTTTTAACCATTCTTGTTAATTTTATAAAAAGTGATCTAAAAAAAATGATCTAAGTGATCTAAAGTTGGCCATAACTACGCGCTGCTCCGAATTAAATTCAAATTGACACTTATAAAGAATAAATTGTACTGCATGATTCAATTGTTCCATTTTTATTTTTTTTTGTGGATTACTCCATATTTTCTAATATATTTTGTTATGTCGTAAAAACTAGCAAATTTAAATTTGAAAACATAAACTTAACAATATAAACTTACGACTTGAATTGAGGGTTACTATTCGCTGCCAACGAAGCTCTGACATGAAAATTTAATGTATTTTTTATGTGATTATCGCCGATTGCTTTCTTCATTGCTTTTATATCGTCATTTTCATAGCCATATCCTCCAGATATATTCGTAGTGACCCAACCTAAAGATAAAACGATATCAGGAAACGACTGCGCGTTTGTAAGAAATTTTGTGCTGTCTAGAGGATCCTCTGTTAAATTTCCAGGACCTTTGAGAATGTTGGCACCTAGCCATAATGGATAGTTTTCCTAAAAAAATATAAAAAATATATTTAATCAGTTAATCAGTTAACCAGTTAATCAGTTAATCAGTTAATCAGTTAATCAGTTAATCAGTTAATCAGTTAATCAGTTAATCAGTTAATCAGTTAATCAGTTAATCAGTTAATCAGTTAATCAGTTAATCAGTTAATCAGTTAATCAGTTAATCAGTTAATCAGTTAATCAGTTAATCAGTTAATCAGTTAATCAGTTAATCAGTTAATCAGTTAATCAGTTAATCAGTTAATCAGTTAATCAGTTAATCAGTTAATCAGTTAATCAGTTAATCAGTTAATCAGTTAATCAGTTAATCAGTTAATCAGTTAATCAGTTAATCAGTTAATCAGTTAATCAGTTAATCAGTTAATCAGTTAATCAGTTAATCAGTTAATCAGTTAATCAGTTAATCAGTTAATCAGTTAATCAGTTAATCAGTTAATCAGTTAATCAGTTAATCAGTTAATCAGTTAATCAGTTAATCAGTTAATCAGGTAATCAGTTAATCAGTTAATCAGTTAATCAGTTAATCAGTTAATCAGTTAATCAGTTAATCAGGTAATCAGGTAATCAGTTAATCAGTTAATCAGTTAATCAGTTAATCAGTTAATCAGTTAATCAGGTAATCAGTTAATCAGGTAATCAGTTAATCAGTTAATCAGTTAATCAGTTAATCAGTTAATCAGTTAATCAGTTAATCAGTTAATCAGTTAATCAGTTAATCAGTTAATCAGTTAATCAGTTAATCAGTTAATCAGTTAATCAGTTAATCAGTTAATCAGTTAATCAGTTAATCAGTTAATCAGTTAATCAGTTAATCAGTTAATCAGTTAATCAACGTTAACGAGACATCTAGCTGCCAGAATTCCGTCACTCGCAAATTCTTCACTTTCCACAATGCCCACATGTAAGCCGTGTGATTTCTCGCTAAGTCTCGCCGAGACAACAGCTTCAGAATTTTGGAGTACTTTTATGTCTTCTTCCACTAGGACCTATATCGGTTGAGTCTTTTCTTCCGAATTTGGGACAATTTCCTCGTTTCCAATTACCAAGATCTTGTTTTGAAGGTCGATGGTAAACTGATTTTGCATAATGTTCATACCAAGGACGCACTGATCCTTAATATCGGCCACCAGAAATAAGTGTTCTATCGGGATATTACAAATCTGTACGATTGCTGATATCTCGCCCAGAACAGGAGTAGTGTACCCTGTAGCTGTTTCCAGAACTAAGCTTCTTTGAGTTTGTCGTGGTTTCCGATGCAGGATCCCTGTTCGAATGAAAGACTTGGTTGCACCAGTATCAAGGACGAAGGTGCCTTCTTGGTTATCGATATACCCCTTGACCAATAGATTTTGTCCGTTTTTATTTAAGGTGTAAGTGCGAACTTTGGGGCCCTCTATCACAGCCGACAACTGCCCCGTAGTGGCGACCTTTATTCGTTTCCCTGGTAATTGCTAGAAAGCCGGCTAGGTGTGGGTGACCGGCTTCTCCGGGCGGCATATCTGCTGTAATTATTTCTTGTTGGACTTTGTGACGAGCTTCGGGAGGTTAATTTAGGTGAATTTATAGCATCATTTTCCGATTATCGATTCATAGAACGAGCCCTGCTTCGACATGTTCTTTGAAGGTGATTCTTCGGCAGTTGAAGCATCTTCTGCTCTCATTTTGGTTATTTCGTTGCATATTTTGCAGGATATTTAATATTTGTGAGAAAGTGGGTTAAAGGATAGTATTAGTAGTGGCCTCTTCATTTTCCTGGACTTTAATTTCTTTAAATTTTGTGCGAGAAGATCTAGATATAGTTTTTGCTACTTCATATTCCTAGGCCGCAGTCAGTGTCTCACTTAACGTCTTGTGGTGTGGTAGCCGAAGAGCCTGCTGCATTTCTACACCATTTAGTCCATCAATGAATGCCTGTATGCCGATTTTTCTAAGAAATCTCTGGGCGCCTGTGGATAGGCCAGATGCAGCAATCTTTTTATATGCTGTTGGCCATATCTTGTTTCCAAAGATTGGACAAGAGATGAATAGCTGTGATCCTCTTTGGGAAGTAACTGTAAAACGGTTGCTACCTATCCGCGCAGCGACACTATCAATGAAGCCTTTATCTCTTTCCCGGCCCAGCCATTGTCTCTAGCAGCAGCTTCAAAAAGTCGATACGTTTCCCATGTCGTCTGGCCGTCAAACGTGGGGATTTAAGGATGATTGCTAATATGGTTCTGTGTAACTGGGGTTTGAATGTGACTTGATTCGGCTGTAGATGAAGACGTGGTAGTGTTTTCAGCTTCAATGTTGCTTACCGAAGCCTGGGTACGAATTTTTCTTTCTAACTTTACTATTTCAGCTCTAATTTGCCTTTCTAACGCTAGTCTTACCTTTTCCTGTTGTTGTTTCAAATTTGTTTTTAAATTCTGTTGCTGCTTTTCTAAATGAGTTTTTAGATGCTCTTGTTGTTTCTCGAAATTAGTTTTTAATTTTTCTTGCTTTTGTTCTAGATTAGTTTTTAAAATATTTTGCTGTTGTATCAGAAGATCTACTCTATTATTCTATTGTTTAGCTGACCAACCTCTTGCTTAAAGGATTCCTGGATTTGTAGCAAACCGTTCATAATTTCAATCGCTTCTTTTTACGCCTCCTTCTTCTCCTCTTCTTCCTTCTTACGCCTTTCCTTCTCTTCTATCCTTTCCTTTTCCTCCTCTTCTTCCTTCCTACGCCTTTCCTTCTCATCTTCTCGCCTTTTCTTCTCATCTTCTCGCCTTTTCTTCTCTTCTTTTCCTTTTCTTGCCTTTTCCTTTCCTCCTTTTCTTTCTTCCTACGCCTTTCCTTCTCCTCTTCTCGCCTTTCATTTTCCTCCTCTTCTTTCTATCTACAATTTTCTTTTTCCTCTTTCACCTTCAAAAACCATGCTGGGGGACCTGAAGCATCCATGCCTGTTTCGTAATCAGTGGATCTAGTATTTACCATGAACTTTTGTTCCCACCGCTGTCACCAATGTTACACTGATTTTTGGTATCTCAATTTATTGCAACTGAACTTAAACAATAATTATACAACTGATAACATTAACATATAACATATAACATATAACGTTTATCATAAAACTGAAAGCTGATGTCAGGATCATTGACGTATTTAGCTTGCTTAAGCCTTCTCGAACCTTCTCGAACTGTCGTCTAGATTTTTCTTGACAAGTAATGACAGTTCCAGATATTTCTGGACTATTCTATCTTCTTTTACTCGTACTTTTACTTATGACGACCGCAGTCCACTGTAGGGCGATGAGTAACAATGCACATCTTTTTGTATTCGTACGTTTCTCAGGGTACTGCGTAACAGTACCTATGCTTCGCCTGTTCGTCAATTAGAAAAAAGATGAGACCCAACCAGCTAGTTGTTTAATTTTAGCAAACCACACTATAAAACAGAGATTTTATGCTACTTTGCCTTATAGCATGTGGATTTTCTGGTGGCCATGGTGATCATGGGTGATTTTGAATCATCCAGTTGTCCCACACCTGAAGTTAACCTATCACTCTGAATCACGCTTTATAATGTTCTTTTAATTGTCTTCACAAAATAATAATAAACTAATTTTGTTTCAATATTTTTTATTTTTCCCGATAAAATCGTCAATTTTTATCTAATCAAGGTTTTAATATTTCACATTCAAAACAGTTTTTACAAATTGAAATTGAATATAGACACCTTAAACCTAACGGGTGAAATTCCAGTTAAAAGAAAAACATTAAAAAGATGAATTTACAACCTTAGCAGCGTTTGCAATTAGGCCCTTATCCTTAGTAGCCTCAGTTAATGCATCAATGCTCTTGAAATCCAAATTGGCTCCTTTCCCCTGTCCGACCTTTACTTTTTCTGGAGTATTTGATTGTTTTAATTTGTTCAAAAATTCGTCTAGAGATAAATCATTTATTAATAAGCCATTTTTTTTATCCAACTCTATCTCTGCTTTTATCATTAATATATTATCTGAAAAGTAAATTTTTATATTAATATGGAAATCAAAAATATTTATTAATTAACTAACATTACAAAAATAAGTTATAATGGGGCATGTTCAAAAATTTTGAATTTTTTTTATAAATAATAGAGATGAAAATAAAGCTACATTTTTTTAAATTTTTTTTTAATCTATTCATTTGCCAGAGATGAATTTTTTAAAATTTTTGACGTCACTGGGAATAGACCAACAGGAGCTAGCGCTACAACGTTGCCGATTAGAAGGTTTACGAGAAGTGATGTACGTTAGTTTGTGTACTCCTTCTTACTTTTAGACTTGTAAAATATCGTTAAACAAATATCTTTTAAATATATAATATCAAATGTTTTTTGAAAGTGTTGTTTCTGTTTAAACTTTTACCATATTTAAAGTTTCATTGTTTTAAAAGTGACTTAATAATTCAGAAAATGGCAAACCGACTACGAATTGCAACAAGGCTAGTTAGGGCGATTCCGAATTCCGATTTCGCATCGGTTGCCACCCGCAAATCTCGCAATCGGCTCTGTTATGAACACAGTATATGAAGCATTCGATTCGTGTATTCGGATTTCAGATTTTATTTCTGTCATTTTTGATTCCGAATCCGTATTCGAATTTACACATTGATTCCGGAATATCCGGATCCTTTTACTATTCGGATTCAACGGATTTTTGGATACGTATTCTTACATCACTACACTGTATGTCATCTGTCATAGTGTCTCGATCAATAATTTATTTGGAATTTGAGTGTTTATTTTGTACTTTTTATAAATAAATATTATGACTACGAAAAAGTGTTCTTGGAACAGAACGTGATAATGATTCACATTCATCTTCAAAAATATTTATTAGTGTTCCTAGAAATTTGGAAAGAAGAATATCAACCTTCTACTAGCGATGTTTCTCGTTAACTTTTTAATAAAAATATACCGGATATTCAAGATGTAGCAGCAATTTCTGCTAATTGTCTCCTTCAGGAAATTCAAAATGAGGCTACTATAAATTCTTAGGTGTATAAAGTGGGTATTTAAACAAACTGGTTCCTGGATCCCATATAATGGCAGATAGGGGGTTTAAGAATATTCAGTAATTACTTAAAAACATTAGATGCACTTTAGTAAGGCCACCTAGTGTATCACAGAATGAAAAAAGTGCTCCAGAAGATGTTCAATTAAGTAAAAGAATAGCATCTCTAAGAATACATGTGGAAAGAGTTATAAGAAGGGTTAGGGAATTTCACATGTTAAAACCACATTCCTGTGTGAATTTTAAGCAAGTACATTTACTTAGTAATATCTGCATAATTGCTTGTGGTATTGTTAACTTACAAGAACCTATTTTGTAAGAGTAAATATTAATTTAATAAACTTTTTTTATTTGTTTTTTAATTTAATTTACCTAATTATCACATTTCAGAGATTATAATGAAGGAATTTTAAACAGCCAATGTAATTTTTTATAAAATTTTAACTTTTCGAGCAAATCAAAGTGGATTGAGTACCTGTATATGCATAGATTTTTTTGGGACTAAAACTACCAAACCAAAGGCACCTATTTACAGCAGTTTAAAATGAAACATTTTAACAAAAACAGCCTATGTCACAGTGATATTACAAATAACCAAGTTCAGATGAATGTGGTTGCAAAGTCTATATATTCCAATAAGTCAGGTAACTACTATGTGGTATCACTGGTGATAAATTTAAAAATATCACAATTCTTGCCATCTTTTTCAAAAAACCAGCAAGTGTGCCTTCTTATCAATCCTTGACGAAAATGACAACAGTGATAAATGTGAAAAAAAATTTAATGTTGCTATTCATAATTACGATAGTAAAACATGTTTGCAGTTCTGTTTATTTTTTATGGAAATCTAAGTAAAAACAACCAATGTCAAAGGATTATAATTTTTTCTCTGTCAAACCTAATATAGCACAAAATTAAAAATTGATCCTAGGTCAAGCTAAAGTAATACCTTTATTGATAGTAGCTTTAAAAAAGGAAAAAGAATATTGACTTAAGTTATTATTATTAACGTTAGTGATTGCCTTTCAAACTAACAATCTTAGCTTACTTTTTATATTATAAACATTTTTGATTACCTACCATCTTTTAAAATTTTATCTATAGTTTTAGTATTTATAGAATTAGCCCATGTAACTTTAGTGAGATTTCCCGAAATCTGTGGAAAAAATTTGGCAATGTCCGCTATCGATGAAACTTGTGATATAAAACAAATAGCTGAAACATAAATCAAAATTAGAAATAACTACCCAATATGAATTAAGCTGTTCGCATAGAATAATTTTTTTTAATCGCAAGAAATGTCAACATTATATACTTTATATACCTAGTTATATAAAGTTGAATAATATGTAACTGGTTAGGAAATGAAACCAATTACGAAATATTATTCGCATAACTAGCGAATATTTGCGAGACGAGCGGAGCGAGGTCCCGTTAAATGAATGAGTTACACAAAATGACATTTCGTATTGTATTACATACAAGATTTTTTTAATTTTGAGTAAATTATTTATAAAAAAATTTTGGTAAAAAATGACTAACCATTATTTTTTTTTATAACTGATGAAACCAAAATGTGAACGCCAAATTTTAATGGTATGATTTAAACTTTGCATCGCAGTCGTTCGTTGCATTTAAATTTAAGAGCTCCTAATAGTATATTACGTAACAAGAGTTGTAAGCAGGGGCGGTTTCTCCATTGTTTCATTTGTGCAGTGAACACCCAGTTCAATTACAAAAAAACATTATTTTAAAATTACATAAATAACATAAAAATATAAATTTAATTTTAATATTTTTATTTTAAAACGTGTTAATCTATATTTTTTGGTACATCATTGCTCTCTGGCTGATCGCGTCTCTGTGGCACAATATACTTAAGTATACAGTGTCTGTGTCGCATTATGATGAGTGAGCCTAACACGAGTGAGATGATTTGGCGAATACATTTAGCTAAAAAGAGAAGACAACACGCGATCCTTCAAACTGTTAAAGAACACATTAATTGGCGCACCGCTCACAAACAAGGTTGCAAAACTAGTGTTGCCAGTCTAGTGTACAATTTACAATTGTACTAGATGTAGTACGTTCTGCGTGCATCAGTGTTCACGTTAAAAATATATAAATATTGTGTTCCTTGTTTGGGTTCGTTATCAATAAAGTCCCCCTTTTTTTACTCTTCAATGAATTTATTTAAATGTCACTGCTATTGAAAAATAATTATTAAAATATTTTCCTAATATTTATTTATACCAACCCCTCAGACTATGGTTTTAATTTAATGTGTTCTTATGTTGCTAGGAAATAGTTTTTTAATGACTTTCATGTATTGTATTTTTAATTAAGACAGTTAGAATATTTTTCCTTTAATAAAACTCATATAGAATCTATAGTTTCAATTAAAAGGAAAGTAAAGTAAAATCACAATAGGTTATGGGCCCAGCGGCGATGATTGCATAAAAACTGCCAAGTAAAAAAACACGAACTGAAGAAATAAAAATAAAAAAAAATTCTTCATTTTTTGGCGTCTGTCAGGTCAGTCACTGCGGAATAAAGTAAGAAGGGAAATGTAAAAGTTCAAAACAGTAAAATGGCAGCTGAAGGAGAAATTAACCAAATTGAGAAACTTACTGACTCAGAAAGTTTTGTTTTGTGGAAATTTTAATTCACCGTAATATTTAAGGCCCATGGATTGTACGAAATCGTCAATGGTGAGAAAAAGTTGGAGCAAATAACCAAAGAAGATGAAAAAACTGATTTCAACAGAAAAGATACACGAGCCCAAAAAGCCATAGTAACTTCTGTCGATAAAAAGATAGTGATGCATAAAATGAACTGTGAAACATCTTATGAAATGTTTAATAAACTATGTAAAGTCTATCAGCGGGATACAGAGCAACAAAAGTGTTCACAGTTACAGGAGTTTTTTAACTTTAAATTTAACAAAGACATTGATATTGCATTAAATATAAGCAGACTAGAAAGTCTGGCCCACATGCTGCATTCGCTAAATCAAAAACTAGAAGACAGTCTTTTAATATCAAAGATTCTTAGTACACTACCTAAAGAATTTAAACATTTTACCACAGCATTGGAGTCTACTCCAGAAAATGAAAGAACAATTACTAATCTTACTGCTAGACTAGTATCAGAAGAAATTCGTTACACAGAACAAGAACAAGAACAAGAAGTATCATTTAAAGCTTCAGAAAATACGAGATCTGAGCGTAAAAATTATGAAAACAAAAAATCACAAAATAAAAACTGTTCCAAAAAAATGTTATGTGTGTGGAAAACCTGGATATACCGCAAAAGTATGCTACTACAAAAAATCCACCATAGCCTCTACTTCGGGCTGTAACATATGCAAAAAGACAAACCATCAAGAACGTGACTGTTTATTTAGAAAAAAAGGAAGATCAGATAGCAAAGTAGCATTCCTGGCACATGACAATAAAAATAAAAATTTTGGTTTCATAATAGACACTGGCTCAACCTGTCTCATGGCCAATTAGGCATTCCAACGACCTGTCCAAATGGCTACCAGTGGGTAATGACAGTTTAGATATGGCAACCCTGTTGTCATGTCATTAACAGGGTCAATGATACATATATAGTTATATAAATTGCTCAAAGCTGGTCGTTTACGAGCGGCCATATTGCCTGGCAAATATTTATTAATTTGAATCGGTTTAGCAAAAATGTGTTTTAAAACCAATTTTTAGCCTTTAGATATTTAAAAAAAAATAATTGCTTACATTTTTACTTCAAGGCATACGCTTATGTTTATTTTGAAAAATATGGATAATCAATCTATGTAACTATCTATTTCATTGACCTTGTCAAATCACCAGGTCTACAGGGTTGCCATAATTTTGCAATATCATAACCCGTCAAAGCCCACTGGTAGGCATTCAGTTTGGAATGCCCAATAACAAAAATTTGTTCCAAGAACTGAAAGTTCAGAAATCAGAAATAAAAGTAGCTAAAAAAGATGAAAGTATGAAAGCTGAAGGTCTAAGCATTATAAAAAGTAACACCTGCATTTTAAATAAGGTTCTCTACATTCCCGAACTAAGTAAAAATCTATTATCAGTTTTTACAAAAGAAAAAGTAATAGTAACAAAGAATAGTAAAAAAGTATTAGAAGGAGAGAAAACTGAAAATGGACTATATATGATTGATATAAACAAAACACCTCAAGAAAGTTTTTTAACAGAACAAACATGTTAAGTATCTAAATGGCATATAAAACTGGGACATTTAGGTATACAAAACATTAAAAAGTTATTAAACATGTCCACTGGGATAAATTTGAAAATTGAAGACTTTGCCAAGATAGATCCAGTATGTGAGATATGCCTCCAAGCCAAGCAAACGAGACTTCCCTTTCAAGAAACTGGACATAGAGCTTCGAGACCGCTAGAAATTGTACATACAGACTTATGTGGTCCTATAGATCCTACAACATGGGATGGTAAAAACTATGTTCTTACTTTCTTGGATGATTTTCACACTACTGTGTAGTATACCTTATTAAAAGTAAAAACCAAGTATTACAACACATAAAAGAGTATATTCAAGAAGTTGATAATTTTAGAAACCTAAAAGTCTCAAAAATTCGATGCGATAATGGTGGAGAATTTGCAAATTGCGACCTAAAGACATGGTGTAAAACTAAAGGTATTGTTACGGATTTTACCATACCTTTACTCCCTTCAAATGAATGGCAAAGTGGAAAGGCTAAACAGAACTTTATTTGATAAGGCCAGAGGGTTAATTTTTAATTGTAAATTACCAGAACAATTTTGGAGTGAAGCAATGTACGCAGCCACATACCTTCTAAATCGAAGTCCAACATCAATAATTAATAAAACACCTACAGAAGCTTGGACCAATACAAAACCGAATTTATCAAGATTACAACTATTTGGAAGCGATGCATATGTGAATGTTTGGGACCGGAAAAAAAATTTAGACGTAAGATCTAAAAAATATATTTTGATGGGATATGCTCAAAGTGGATAAAGACTGTGGGATGACGACAAAGCTAAAATAGTGATATATAGAGATGTTATTTTCAAAGATTCCAAAAATATAGAGAAAGATGATGCAACAAAAGTAAGATATTTAAAATTAAATGAAAATGAAGATGATGATAATGGAGAAAATGACGAAAAAAACAATGAACTTGAAAATCAAGAAGAAAATTTGGGTGAGGAAAATTATGAACAACTTGTTGAAGAAGAAAAAAATCAAATTAAAAATCAATACCAGAACATTTCAGAGACTAATATATTGAGTGAAGGATCTAAAAGAGTAAGAAGACAACCTGAGTGGTACAATGCTTTGTTGACCTACGAAGAGGCTATAAATGGCAAGGAAAAAGATAAATGGAAACTAGCTATTGAAGATGAAAAACAATCTTTGCTAAAAAATGAAACATGGACGTATGTAGATGAGTCTGAGGTACAGAATGAAAAAATTTTATCGAGTAAATGGGTATTTAGAATAAAATATTCAGGTAGATATAAAGCTAGGTTGGTAATAAGGGGATTTGAGCAAGAATATGGAATTATTTCACTAAGACTTTTATTTGCCTTAGCTGCAGTAAATGAATATGAATTTAAAAAATTCGATATTAAAACAGCTTTCCTTTATAGAAACATTTCTGAAAAAATCTTCATGTTTTTGCCAGAAGGGTTTCAAGCTAGTAATAAAGTATGCAAGTTAAAAAAATCTCTGTATTGCTTAAAACAGGCACCTCTAAAATGGAATGAAAGATTTACTACTTATTTAAAACCAATTAGTTTGTATACCTAATCTAAAAACTGAGAAATGCATTTTTAAGAATGAAACTAATACCTTAATTTTGGCTATTTACGTTGCTGACGGTCTTCTTTTTGGTAGCAATGAAGAAGAGATTGACTTTATAATTGAAAAACTAAATGAAGAATTTCAGATGACTGTTTGTACACATCCAATAGATTATTTAGACATAGAAATAAAACAACAAAGTGATGGAATTATTCTAAGTCAAAAGACATATCTTAACAGTATTTTAGATAAATTTGTTTTCAATAAATCTAAACCTATGATTTATAACCCTGTACCTAAAAGGGAAAATTGTAATACAAGTTATCCCTACAGAGAATCAATTGGAAGTCTACTATATACAGGGTGTTATTGAAATACACGTACATATTAAAACTGGG